ATTGCACTGAATGGTCCCACCGTGGGATGTAAAGCAGGATGTCCGCAAAGCTACGCCGAACTGGCTCGCGCCTTGCCCCTGACTTAAATGGATGGCAACAGGACTGGGGCTTTAGATCCGGCCGCGGAGTCCGGGTACGGTCGGTGAGGACTCTCATTTGCTTTGGCTTTCTTTGGAAGGGGATGAAGCCCATAAACAGTCCAAGTCCGGTCTGAGAAGCTTGAATACAACTTTGCTGCTCAAAACGGTGTCCGGTGCGATTGATACAAGAAAAAATTGTTGCTCAAAAGGGTGCGATGTGTTAATGCTTAGACGCTGTTTTTTGGTTGTTTTGGCTGCCCTTGTTTGGTTGACATTAGGAAATGCATGCCATATTTTTGTTCAATAAGCGGCGAACACCTGAGTTCTAAAAGTTGTTGGCCTGTGTAGCGTTTTGTCGCTTTTACAAAGATTTCACGCATTTTCGACGCGCTAAAATGCGTAAACCATGTTAAACTTCCAAGTAACCTCCAGTCTGCACGCTAGTCAATGCACCAACAGCATGTTTGTGGGTTTTTATCGTGATCTATGGACTTCTCTCAAGCTAAAATGGGCGAGAACCGATGTGTTATAAAGTGAGGATAGGGTGCGGCACTTGCGCCGGATGAGGCCTAATGCCCCACAGCCCTTGTTCCTTGCTCCCCACCCTCGCACACGTACATTTCTTTTCCAACACGATTTTCAGCGCTGGCGAAGGAATGCATAATCGGAAAAAAATGTTGCCCAAAGAAATCGATATTGAATTGAAGGAAAAGGAAAGAAAAGGAAAGAAAGTGTTCGTATTTGAAAAATTACAACTGTTTAAAGATTCAAGTTGCTCGTACTGAAAAGAAAGTGTTCGTATTTGAACGAAAGAAATGCAATACAATTTAAAGAAATGCCTTGTGAAGCGTCGCATATGCGTACGTAGCATAAAGCACCTGTGAGGGGGTTGCATCGCCTGTATTTCGATGGTATGCGATACAAAAAAGGCGTGCACGAAGAAGTGTGGTGCAAAGAATTGTGTTGCCAAGCGTTTGCAGTCCCGAAATTGAACGGAAAGTAATATTCGTGGAAGCGAATTGGCGATACGAAGATCTGAGTACGACTTTTTGCATAAGAAAAACTGCGATGTGAGAATCTGAGTGTGGAGGAACGCCTATGCGAAGATTTGTCATGTGACGAGACCTGATCTACCATCTACTACAATATATCTAAGAGCGACCATATTCGGAGAGCAGCCACAAGTCATCCAAGTCAAAACCACCTTTTGGATATGAGGCCACGAGACTGGTCTGTAAAACCTATGCTACAGCATATGAGCCAAATAGAACGTCATCTACAATGGATTCGGTCGGACATTACACCATGCAAAATTATGCAGCAACTAGCCCATGACAGCCACCGAGCGCACCTCGGCTGGCCTGACCAGTCAAATCCGGGCAAGTTCGTGACGAGGCGGTGGCAACACCAACCTTGTTAGGGCAGACCGGAGCAGGCAGACCCAGACTGAGGTGGCAAACCGAAGCGGGAGGTGCAGACTGACACGGCAGACCGGAGCAGGAGGCGCAGATTGACGTGGTAGACGAGGACAGAAGGTGCAGACGGCCGCGGAGACCAGAGCAGGAGGCGCACTCGGCCGCGGCAGACCGGAACAGCAGGTGCACTCGGCCGCGGCAGACTGGAGCAGGAGGCGCACACGGCCGCGGAGACCAGAGCAGGAGGCGCAGACGGCCTCGGCAGACCGGAGCAGGAGGTGCACTCGGCCGCGGCAGACTGGAGTAGGAGGCGCAGACAGCCGCGGCAGACCGGAGCAGGAGGCGCGGACGGCCGCGGCAGGCCGGAGCAGGAGGTGCAGACGGCCGCGGCAGACCGGAGCAGGAGGCGCACACGGCCGCGGCAGACTGGAGTAGGAGGCGCAGACAGCCGCGGCAGACCGGAGCAGCGCGCCTTGCCGTCGAAGGCGCCAGTCAGACTGACGAACGACCGTCGGCGGCGAACAGCCGACGGGCGGCCGACGACCGACGGCCGGCCGCAGGGCCGCAGCGACGGCCCCGACGCAGTGACGGTGGGCCTGCTGCCTCTGTCATACAGGCGCGGCTGCTCGCGCTGGCTGAGGCCAGACTGTAGCGTGCTGTGTCGGGTACGAAGCACGCGCCCGAGTGCGTGGCTGTGGTCTTTTTGTTGATGGCGGCGCTCTGGTGGATCTATGAGCGATTCTTGGATCATTTTTGGTGTCTTTCGTCTTTTTAGCACCGTTTTTTTTTTTAGTACCAAGCGCCTTTTTAGCACCGTTTAGTGCACTGGCATCGTGTAATCCGTTCAACTCATGAATTTTCCGAGCCCTGTCACAAACCGATTATCGTGTTTCAAGGTGTCAATTGACAAAGTCATACATTTACAAGCGGTGATCTTAGATTAACGACCAAAAATACAAAAATGGCGATCGAAACCTATTGTCAGAAAACCGCGCAAAGAACGAAAGGCAACTAAACCCGGTGGCGTAGAAATATTGGAAAGCATGTGTGTACGAGGCAGAATTTCCACAACGCGGCCCAGACCGCAAAATAGATCAACGAACCCGCGAGGTCTTGATTTCCGTTGCACGAACGTGCATGAACGCTAGAAACTACCTAGTTTCGCTGAACACGATTGATAAGGATGAGTCACTAATTAAAGGCTAAAGTAAACTTGACCTTTTCCCGCCTACTTGTTGACGAGGCGAGCTTTAGAGCGCCCAGGTTGGCATTCTGCTCGACGACATTAAACTTCGTTTGCATTTGTGCAGAAACAGGCCAACTGATGCTGCGAGTTTTGGTAGACTTTCACTGACTACGGCGATTCAAGGCATGATCTTACTTAACAAATGGCGCTGTTCGGTGACCACAATGCTTGTGAGACGTAGTGCCCGCGCCCCTCTATTCCGTTTATACATCATGGAATCGAACAGATGCTTCCGAACAATATTTCTGAGTGGTCATTTACTTTTGCGTTGCACCCATATTATCAAGGTATTTCTCCAAACACTCAGGGCGCGGTACAGCATACGTGTAGGGCGACTAACCTGGCACGGACATGGATTGGACTGGTTGTGCAACAATGTAGTGTGGCGTGTGTAGTATGGAATGGGTGCATGCGCGCACGCGTGCGTGCGTGGCTGTGGTCTTTACAAGACAGCCTCAGCTGCACTTTGAAAATGAGAGGGAAATGGCGTAGGTAAAGTCAACGCCGCGGCTCCTCTGTACCTGCATAAGCGCAGCGTTTTTTGTGTAGTTCACAGAAGTGGGGCTCAACCATCCCTGTGATCGGTATAAAATGAAGAACTTGGATCAACCAGCACCAAAAGTGAACCAGTCGTCCATTGTTCGCATCACACGGGGAACGTATAGTGACCAGCCAAGGCGGTGGTAACTTAGGACGACCCAAACCGCCACGGGTTACCGACAGTGCCACTGTTAGGCCAGTTTTACATGCACGTCTCTGCATGGGATTCACGCCGAATTTCACCAGAAATTAGGGGCGGGTCGGTGAACCGCCCCAACCGCAACGCCTATGCGACTGGTACAGATGGCAAGTCAGTCATCTATGGCGACAGCTGGCAAGTCAGCCACCTATGGCGACAGCTGGCAAGTCAGCCACCTATGGCGACATCTGGCAAGTCAGCCACCTATGGCGACAGCTGACAAGTCAACCACCTATGGTGACAGCTGACGAGACATCCATCTATGGTGGCAGCTGGCCAGTCAGTCACCCATCGCGACAGCCTGTCTCCCGTACGTACCAAATGTTGCGATTTCCAACAGGAGGCTATAAAATGTTCAAACGGTGTGACCCGCTCCCGCCACACCACACGAAAGCGAAGCAGCACAGTTGTAACGAAAATGTCACAACCTCGACTGCACAATGGCCTAGCTGGTTTTCGCGTAGCGTATACCTGCCGTTGGCAGTGTCCTGTGGTGCTAGTGCTCCAAGGCGATCATCTGACGACGAATCCCAGAGGGGTTTCAAACCAGGTGCGCAAATAAGAACAAAGCGAGCTACGCTGAGCCAAACGCTAGCAATGATGAGATCGTGTCTTCATGATAATACCCCTCGAATGCTAATTATCATGATTAAATAACACAGTGGACATCGACACGCGGATACTTTTGCGAGCCATGCCAGGCTACCAGAGTGCGCTGAAACCGATCCAGGCAGCCTACATTACGAGAACGCTATGCTTGCAACAAAAGCTCGTCATAATTCTTTCAAAAATATCGTTTATCCCGTCAGGCACGCGGGAGCCGACCAAAGAGGCTGTGAGGGCATGAGCGCTCCGTCCTTT